CTCTTTGGTTATACTTTCCTTTTAGGTGTTTAAGACCATACAGTTGGCCCAAATAAATCAATTTATATTTACACTTAAGGTCATTTGAGCATCTGTTCCTCAGGGATCACATGGGTTGGGAGGAGCCCCTGGATCCTTTCTTTTACCAGTTGCATCTATGTGAAGATAAGTCAAATGTCCTGCTGGACCATGGATGGCTTCACTTGAAAGCATGGAGGAAACGTTTCCTCTGAGTTGACCCTCCTCTTTGTAGACTGGATCTATGCTTTGACCCTACTCTTTGTAGACTGGACACTGGTTCAAGTCCATCTGGTGGGGTCTCCATGACCTCTCTGAACAAGAAGACTCACCACAGTTAAAGAACATTTTGAGAGATGCTCCATAGTCCCCTGGAACTTAGTCGACCTTGGAGGGCAAGGGGCAAAAACTGCCCTTTAAGTCCCTCTGACCAAATTAATATAGGCCTCAAAGTATGGCTGTTAAACATCCAATAAGGTTAGTTCCACCAGCCTGGTACTTTTAATTACTATATGCTGTGTAGATAAAGCATAAACCTTGACTAGATATATATTTTCTTCCTTAAACTAGTCGACAAAGCTATGACCTTAGAACTTTTAAGATTTTGTATATATTATTTTTGTCTCATCCTTTATATATCATAACAAACCTAGAGAGACCTTCATCACTTGCTTAGGCTTTATGTTTCTCTTTTTAAAAGACTATGAAGTTCAAAAAATTTATAAAAGGAAACAGTATACTGTTGAGGGGCGTGGTGCACATGTGGAAAAATAATGATAACCAATACTGCAAAAGAAATAAGAAAACTAATGAAAATTAAAACAGAAAAGTAGGAGCCAGGTGTGGTGGCACACACCTTTATACCCAGCATTTGGGGGGCAGAGGCAGGCGAATCTATGAGATTGAGGCCTGATCTGACGTAGCAAGTTACAGGCCAGCTAAGTCTACAAGGAGACCCTGTCTCAAAAGACCAGAAAAGAGGGAGGGGGGATGACAGAAGTAAAATGGGAGATAAGGCTTCTGGGTATTGTCTTATAGGTCTATTGTCTTAGATCTGTTATACACAGGTATCTCTTGTAATCCAGCTCTGTTTTGTTTTCTGAGTTTGGTAAGTAACAAGAATTTAGATAAGGAATTTCTCTAAAATGTTCTATTCCTGTGTCCTTTCCATGAATCAAATATGGCATCATCTTCAAATGAAAATTTCTGCTGGGAAGTTAGCTTGGTGAAGTACTTGTCTTGCAAACACCAGGAGCTGAGTGTGGTTCCCAGAACCCACATAAGATGCCAGGCATGGGGAGATATGCTTGTAATCTTAGCTCTGAGGAGGCAGACACAGACAGATCCCCAGCCAGCCGAGCCTACTCAGTGAGTTCCAGGACAGTGTTTTGTTTTGTTTTGTTTTGTTTTGTTTTGTTTTAAAAAAAGCAGATGGCTTCTATGGGGTGACACTTGAGGTGGACCTCTGTATATACACAGGCAGACACATGTGCACCTGCACACATACAAACACACACAAACACATTCACACAAAATGAAAACTTGGGTCATGAGTACTACTTCTACATGTGTTTTGTTCCGCAAAGATTTTGGCAGCACTGACTGGGCACCAGGCACCAGGCTTAGCCCAGCAGCTGCAACGTAAGTCAAGCACAGTTCCTGTCCTGCAGCAACTGACCAGTGGGATACAATGGAAGCCACATCTGTAATTTTTAATTTTCTGGGAGCTACATTAGCAAAATGCCAAAACTCAACCCCGGGTTTATATCATATTTTAATCCAATTAATATTAACAATAATGCCATTTCACTATGTAAAGAAGCACTCATCTTTTAGTCCTTTTTATATTCTACGTTCTCCATACTAAGTGCTCAGAATCTGGTATACTTTGCTCTCCCAACACATCTCAGTTTGGAGGAAGTGCTCTGTGGCTCATAGTGCAGGTAGATAAGGGAGCAGCTGATTATTCATCGTTTACATTGTCTTCACATTTATTTAGTATGGGGGAGTACATGTACACATGCCATAGCACATGTGTAGAGGGCAGAGAACAAATTCTTTTAGTATTTTGAGGCAGTCCCTAGAGCCCCAACTAGCCTGGAACTCGCTATGTAGACCAGGCTGGCCTTGATCTCACAGAGATCCATCTGCCTCCACCTCCCGAGTGCTAGGATTAAAGGTGTGTGCCAGGAAGCCCAGCTCCAGAGGACAATTTGTGGGAGTCTGTTGTCTTCTTCCACCATGTCCTTCCAGATACTGATCCCAGGTGGTGAGGCATGGTCACAAATGTCTTTAGCTTCTGAGGCATCTTGCCCACCCTTGTTTACATTTTTTTTAATGTTTGGTCAATAGATCATCAGAAACTTTATTGTAATAATGAAACTCTAATTGGATAATAATTACAGTTATTTATTGTAATGAAATAATGTAATAATGAATTTCACATGCCTCTTAATAGCTCTGTGGAATGTGGCAAGGAGCTCCCAGTAACTTGTAAAGAAAACCCTCCATCTTCTACTCTTGCTAGGACCCACCCACACCCTCACAAATTTGCTGAGAGCCCCTTACAGATGATTGCCCTCTATTCTATGGACCATTCCTCTGCATCTGTCAGAAGGACATGACCTAACCGTTTATGGAATTAAGATCCATATTTTATACCAGAGAAGCAGTAGGCTCCACATCTGCCCTACTGATTGGAACTGCTAGGTATTTGGCTCAGCTGCCTCTATCAGAATTCTTGTCTCCTTATTATGAGTCAGATTCGTATTTTGAAACTTAATTTTGAAGTATGTTAACTAAAGTAACCAAATACTTGGAAACATAAACATTGTTGATTACTACTGGTTTGGTCTGGAATAATCTGTGCTTTAGGACAAAATGCAATGTTCAAAATAATTTATGAGATTTTTAAAAAATCTTTGAGGTCAGGAATATGGTACATACCTGTAATCCCAGGTCTTGGGAGACTAAGGCAGAGGATCACAAGTTCCAGGCTGCCCCGGACTACCTAGTGAGTCTATCTAAAAAAAAAAACGAAAAATGTTTGTTCTATATACAAATTTAAATTTGTGATTCTTCCCTAAAATAATTATTTTTATTTCCATCCCCTCAATATGTATTACTTTCTAATTACATATTCTCACCTAAACCATTGATATTCAGAAGACTATAATACATTTTATTTATGTAGACGTTTAAAGATTTTAAGCCAAGAATTTAAAGCCAGTCAGACATATACCTGTGTATAAAAGTATAATTTTTAAAAAAATATTTTATTTTTATTTTATGTGTATAAATGTATTGCCTGCAAGTGTGTAAGTGCACCCGTGTAGTACAATGCCCGAGGAAGTCAGAAGGCATCAGATTCCCCTGGAACTGGAGTTAGAGCTGATTGTTAGCCACCATGTGGGTGCTGGGAGTCAAACCCAGGACCTCTGCAAGAGCAGTTGGTGCTCTTAACCCTTGAGCCATCTCTCCAGCCCCAAAAGTATCATTTTTAAAAATTAAGTAAATATATATTTTAAGTGTAGACTAGTTGACCAGCAACTGCTTTTAAAATCCAAATTGACAACAGTGAAGGATGCAAAATTTATGTAGCTGTGAGAAAAGTAAAAATATGTTAAACTCAAGTGAAAACTAAGTCTACACGCTCTATTTGAAACCCAGCATTGTTTATTTGTGGTCGTTTAGTCCTAAATTTGACTTGGCTTTGAGTTTAAAGCCTCTTCATGAGATATTTAACATTGATCACATTTTTAACATGTTAAAAAGGACGTGAGATCGAAACTTTCCTGGAAACCTCATTTCTGTTTTTCTTTTGGCACTTTATGGAAATGTATTTTGAATATAATTCAACTTTGCAGTCAGTTCCCCCCATACCCAACTTTTGCCAGCTAAAACAAGTTCTGCAGATGTTAATGGCTCATGTCAATACTGAGAATGAATAGGCAGAAAACACATCATTGAATGTCTCTAGCGAGGACAACTGCCAGTCTCGAATCTCCCCTTTCAGTTTTTGTGCTGATCAGGCGTGGGAGCAGAGAACGCATTGATGATTTGTAAGCTGCTGCTTAATATGCAGAAGTGCTCCATCAGGAAAATGTCTGTGGAGCTTTGGCTGCCACGCCTCTGCTGGGAAGGGGAACTTGGAAAAGAATGCCAGGAGAAGCGGGTCTGAAGTTTTCTTCTCTTAAAGGAACAGTCCTCACCCCTAAGAGTTAATAGATTATCGGCAAAACCTGCTTTTCCATCATTCTGTTGTCAGGGATAGTCCTGGTGAGTTCTTCCACGGCTGAAAATTACAGCCACACAAATAGGTTCAGCAGGTGGCGGTAGAAAGCTCTTGTTTCCGGGTAGCTCGCTGGCAGCAGCTCTAGGTGTTCACTTAAATTATTGGCACCCTTTAAAAAGAATTTTTTCTCTGAATCCTCTGATTCTTTCCTAGCAAAGTAAACCCTTTTTCTTAAAAATGATTAGTCGCATGTAGGTTTTCTGCTCAGACCCCCAAACAATGTAGTGTTTCTAATGTCCAGAAGCTTTCATTCAAGTCAATAAGGTGATAGTTTCCCAGCAAGCTGTGCTGGGAAAGGGATTTCCTGTGAATTTAAATAATCTAGGCTCCACCCCAGAGAGCCTGGTGCTTGCTTTTTGCATCCATGGCAAAGGAGGGAATTCATGTGCTTACAGTAATTCAGCTTCTCTCTAAATAGCATGGAATATGTTCCTAATATATTGCTTCATTGCAAATCTCGGACCAGCTTGAACTTGGCCTTCTGATAGGCTACTTTCCTGCTAAAGACTTTCTCTTTGAATACCAAAATGTTTGTGTGAAGATGTAAATATTGTATTGCAAGTTCTGTTCTTATGTACACATTCCATCCTCTTAAAAGAAAAAGAAAAAGAAAATTTCTGAACATGTTTCACCTAATTTTTGGTAGGAAAACTAAAATGGTAAAAATGTGTTAACTCTCCATTTAAATTTTTCTGTTGTAACACAATTCATTTATGTATTTCAAAGTACATTTTGAACTACGTTACTTGTTTATTTGCAAGTTATTTTGAATTTGAAATTTTCTATATATATTCATTGACTTAAGGGAGGAGCATAAAGTTTTAACCTGGTGGTTCTGACTAATATAGAATGGTGTGTGCAGGGCTGGAGAGATGGCTCAGTGATTAAGAACACTGGTTGTTCTTGCAGAAGACCAGGGTTTGAATCCCAGCACCCACATGGCAGCTAACAACTGTCCGTAACTCCAGTCCCAGGGGATCCAACAGCCTCTTCTGACCTCCACGGGCATTGCATGACACGGGTGCACTTACTGGCATGCAGGCAATACACATGTACATATAAAATAAAAATAAATAAATAAATAAAATTTTTAAAAAAAGAATGGCATGTGCAAAGAAGCTAGAGGGCTACTCTTATAAATATTGACCATATGCTGATTTATTAACACAAATTTTTATATAATATTGATGGCTGAAAATGCTTTTAAAACTATTGCCTTTGATGTAGATTATGTCCACTAGACTGATTTGGTATTCAGAGAACCTCAACCTTACTTCCCAGTAATGTAAGGTTGGACTTCATAGACTATAGAGGCCAAAACTAAAAGTTTGTCCTTAAAAAGTCCTTGTTTTTCCATCATATCCAAGAAATCCAAAGGAGCTTCTTAAAATGTATTACTGAAGTAGATTACAGTCACCATCAGAAAAGGATGGCCGTACCCAGAATCACACATATATGTATCGACAGAGTTCACAACTCAAGAAAGACAAACACATAAACGCAGTCAAGGGCATTAAAGCCCGTCGTCGCTTCACACATGCATCAGGAAAGAATAGTCTTGAGTTCCCCAGGAGATGCTGTGCTCTTTTAGAGTTTATATTTATGAGAGATCCGGCTCCCAGTTTAAGGCAAATGTTCAAACATTGAGCAAAGCCAGGAAGAATTCCAGCTTTGACTCTGATCACTATGCTTTTGTTGTAGTCCTTAATGTGCTACATCCCAGACCCAATCTGGACTGATTTTTTTCCTACACTCCAGCTTTGTTTTCTTTTCCATCTCATGAAGCAGACATTAGTTCTTACACATGCTCAACCATCCCCTCCTGCTAGAAAAAGGAAGAAGACCAGGGTGAGTATGGAAACTTCCTAGGGAGGCCAGCAGGGGCACATATTGATAAATGGTGAATTTGTAGCAGTTCATGCTTCTATAATGAGGTTAAATGAAACGTGAAGTGTAACAAAGTTCTCTCAAGCCCTGTGTCAAGACTTCGTTCCCCTGCCGTTGCGGTTGTTGTGTGTTTGTAATCTCCTTACTGGGCCAGGCTTTTTACTTTTCCAAGTCAACTTGATATTTAATTATATTTAGGTTGGCTTTACTTTTTGGTACTTTCTTTATTCAAGGTATTGCTAATAGTCATTTTAATTTTATATGTGTTTTAAATGTGTTTAATAAAACTCTATATTACCCTTGTTTCCTAAGTTAAGGTTTCTCTTTCAAAGAGAATTATAAAGCATATATAAACATGTTCCAGTAGTTCAAGATTTGATTTTCTACAAGCATTAAAATTTAAGTCTAAAATATTTCAATATGTGAATTAAATTTTAGCATTCCGATGGCAGTAATTGTTAAGAAGCTGTAAAAGAAAGAAAGACAAAAAGAAAAGAAAACGTACTTAGCCCATTAATTCTACGTTAAGAATTTATCCTAAGGGGAAAAAATATATGTGTAGGGTTCGGTTAGAAATCATTTTTAATAGCAAAAGTTGTTACCGAGGCTAAATCGCCACACTGCCGAGGTTCTTCATCCATTAACGGCATCTTAAAGGACCTGTAAGAACTTGAGAAAATGCTCATTTGTAACATCGAGGGGGGTGAGTAAGATATGACCCTATATGCAGTTGCTCTCAAGTAAAGCAAACTTGTAAATTTATTTATATGAACTATTCAAGTTAGGCAGAAAAACTGGTGATTCTATCATCATAGGAAATTATTTTCTGAGTAAGTAAGTATAACACTTATAGTAAAAAGTAATCTTTACCTACATCCTTATTTGAAAAGGGTTTTGAAAAGGTCATTAAAGTTGTCACAATTTAATGACATGTTAATATCTTCACATTGAGAAACAAGGTGGTATCTTTTTTTTAATCTGCGTTGCTTGCTTGTTCATTGAGCGCTGTTTTGATTTGGCAGGTAGAACAAATTCTGGCTCAAATAGCAACTATTAAATGAAAGCATCCGTTCAAATCAAAAGTAAAGCAAAGAGGTGGCACTGTGAAGCGGTCCTGAAAATAATCCGTTGTTCTTGCTGCTGTGTGATGCTGGGTGTGCAGTGGTTTCTAAGCAATGCTTTGAATATTTTTGTGTCCTAATTGTAGGGTTTGGGGGGTTTTTTTCTTCCTAGATCTGGTTTGCCTTTGTCAATGGCTTTTCTGGACAGATCCTCTTTGAAAGATGGTGTATAGGGCTTTATAATGTGGTAAGTTGAGTACATTTGAGAATCCTCTGAGATAAAGAGTCACCTGTCATTTGGCTTTGTGGTGAAATGACTGGCTTGTCACTTTAGATGTTTACAGCGATGCCTCCCTTAACACTTGGAATATTTGAAAGATCGTGCAGAAAGGAGAACATGTTAAAGTATCCTGAGTTGTATAAAACATCTCAGAACGCTCTGGACTTCAACACCAAGGTAGGAGCTGGTACCCATTCATCTGTTCAGAAGGGTTTCTTTGTTGCTCTAAGTGTGAAGCCCTCCATAACCGAGAACGTGCCAGCCCCAGAGAGCTTCAGTGCGACCAATGCTAGAAGGTTCTGCTATGGAGGTACAAGGGCCCTCATTAGTTGGATTGGTTTGAAGTTTTTGTGTTACAAAATTAGAATGAGGACTGGAGAGATGGCTCAACAGTTAAGAGCACTGGCTGCTCTTGCAGAGGACCCGGGTTGGATGCCCAGCACCCACGTGACTGCTAACAGCCATCCATAACTCCAGTTCCAGGGGACCCAACACCTTCTTCTGACCTCCCCGGGCATTGCACGACACAGGAACACTTACACATACAGGCAATATACTCATATGCACAAAATAAAATAATAATAAAAAAATTATAGTCTGTGGAAAGTAACTTCATGTTTGCTCAGTACTTCCAGATCTTAAAATTTTAAATGCAAGAGGAAAATATCGAACATGTCACCTGAAATTGTAGTCTGCCTGTGTTGTGTTTTAATTTATCCAGAAAGCTATATTTTCTTTTGTTCGTCTTCTTCTTCAGCATACGAAGTAGCAGGCTTCCTTATGACATGCTCACTAGTGCTCAGTTTGGCTCATCCTCTTCATTCCTGCACCCCATCTCTCTTTCCTCTTCCCTATTTGTCCCTTTCCATCAGGGTATTTCCCTTCCCACTTCCATATCTCATATTCTATTATCCTCTCCACTCCCCTTCCTTAAAGCCTCTTTTCCCCCTCTCATGGGCCTCCTCCTCTCTATTTCCTCACCTCAGTCTACACCCATTCCCACCTAAATGCACATGTTTTAAATAGAAACAAAGATCCACATATAGAGAGAGCATGCAGCATTTGTCTTTCTGAGCCTGGGTCACCTCACTTATGTAATATTTTCCAGTTCCATCCATTTTCCTGCAAATTTCATAATTTCATTTTTCTTTTGACTGAATAAATTCCATTGTGTTAATGTACCATGTGTTCGTTATCCATTGTCTGTTGATAGACATCCAGGGTTATTCCATTGCCTGACTTTGTATTCTATGTAACAAATCATAGGCCGTTGTCATTTCTTGTGCATTTGTTCATTTCACCAACAAAAGATATCTTACTTTCTGCATAGCTTACTTCTTTGTGAGTATACATTCTAAAGTGTTTCCATACTGGTATTTGGTAATGATTCAGGTTTCCCAACCCCAGCAAAACATTTAATATTGCAACAACCACAGTAGATAACATTTTGAAACACTAACATTTGTATATTTAATTAGTAGTAAAAAAAAATCAACAGACGTAAACACACTTTCCCAGAATTATTTCCATTTAAAAATTGTGTGTTTATTAGTATATTCCTGATAAGAGACATAATCGTAATTCAGAATTTTTAATTTAGGACATTTTGCCTAGAAACTTTTAATATTTATTCATTTATAAAGCTCTCTGGTGCTATTTAATCTCAGGATACCAAGAACAGGGTGAAAAAGCTGTTTCTGTGCCCACATGCTGCACACCATAAATGATAGTGTTGAGTTTATTTCTGAGAGGTTATTTTCTCCCTGAGACTTGGTCTTTGTGAACATGCTGAATGGATGGATGGCTACATACAGACATGCAACCTGATCAGTTTGGTTTATAACTTATTCTGAACATAACATAACTGAACTTGGTTAATCAAAATAGCAAGCACACTGAGGCATTCTTGAATTTATATCACTGGTTCTAAAATATATTTCTAGTGGTATCTTTTTAAACTATGACTATTTGTAATGTGTCTGAATATTTTGATATTTTGTTTTATGGTTTCTTTATTTATGACACACAGTTTGTATCAGACTCTACCCACATTGCTGACATGCTTTTCATTATCTGTGTTAGACATTTTCAAATGATGAAAAGGTACAGTCAAGGCGGATACAGTGGCCATGAGTTCTTATTTCCCTGAAAAAGTGATCTGGGAGCCAAGAAAGTGCAGGCTAGTATATTAACAATTCTCACCAGCCTAGTGCTTTGTATCAAGCTCAGCCGCAGGTCCCCGTCTACCATAGTTTGGGCTCTGCGGTGCTATTTCGTGAGTTAACTTCCCAGCCACAAATATGGCCATGTCACTCTGGAACGAAAGTATACACTGACCCTCTCAGGACTACCCAGTCATTCCTGCAAAGCCACATCTATTTATGTCCTTCACAGAGGACAACATGGGCACAGTTCTATGGCAGGAACAGGGAATAAGGGTAGCATGTACGTTAATAAGAGAGCAACTTTTCCCTTCTATCTTTTATTGTTGAAAAAGTGCTTCATTATCTGTAGATCCCAGACATTTAGAAAATCACCAGATCAGCTCGACTAAGTAATACATTTCCCATATCTATTTGAATAGCTTGTATAGCTTATATATTCAGGTTGCCAACCATTTTTCCAGGGATTATGGCTATTTTTTTCAAATGATTTCAATGGGACTGTTTGATTAAATCCCATCCAAAGTGTTTTAATATTCAGGAACAAGTGGTTACAAAATGCATAGTTGTCTACACAGGGGTTGCCGAGGGTCCCAAGTGTAGAAGCCTTGTTGCCTTGAATGAGGAGGCTTGCATTTGTTATGGTAAAAGGGGTCAGAGGCTCTGAGGTCATGACAGGGGTTAAAGGATTAGCGTGTGACAATAAGTATCAGTCAGGAAAATGGAAAAGTAGAACTAATTTTTCTTGCACCCACCTGTGCTTTCTGTCAAATAAAACCTTGTGGTAATGGCACGGTGAGGAGAAGCGGCAAAGGTTAATGAGTAACACAAGTTCAAATGTGTAATGTATTGGAGTGTAAATTGGATCATACAATCCCGCATGGTTGGGTGAACTAACAAAGGAGATTGAGATCACAGTGGAAAATTTTGGGAGGCAGGCAACTTAATATCTGTTGTTTGAACAGCTTAAAACTATTAATACATGCCAATTTTATTTAACATAAGCTTTGTTTATGAGGAGTGCTTTTACATGACAGAACTACAACTGTTCAGAGGGTCATAAGGATTCTAAGCAGTTTTTTATAACTTAATCTTTCACATTCATGTTACAAAGAAACTTCCAATGATTCCTGCTCTCTTGTTCCTAATATATAAAACATAAAAAGTAATGACCGTTAAATGGGTAATGTGATTTTTGAAACTTGGGATTGACAGATGTTAAACAATTATAAAAAGCCTTTGGAAACTTCAGATATATTCACAATATCTTATTTTAATGAATATATAATCTAAATGTTAGACTTAGTGTTTCTGATATAATATGTATACCTGTATTTCTATCACAAGAAAGAGCGGGAAGAACGCACTGTAAATTGTCACCACCAAAACACTTATACTAGGAATAGGAGAGGAAAAAGAAGGCCTATTTCCCCAACTTGGGTCATTTAAAGGTCTATTCTTCTAGAATTATGAAAAGAGCCCCCCCATGTAAGGAATTTCAGGATCTGCATCTATTATAAGATTTTTTTTTTTTCTCTTTTGAAGGCAGAAATTTAAACTTTTGATACTGGATTTTTTTTTTTTTAAAGTAGGAAAAAAATTCTCGCAAAGCTGAAAAAACATTTTGAGAAACATAAAAATAAATAAATGGCCCATGAAAGTCTAAGAGGCAGAAAGTGTCTGTCAGCTCTATTAATTCACGGTGGTGGCCCAGCAGAAACACATTTTGTGGATCTAGTTCATAGATAAAAAGAAAGGTCAGAGGTCACAGAGCAAGTTTATCACCAATGGTTCTCATGGATTCTTGTTTTCCCTCAGGTTTTCTGGGTTCATTGTTTGAATGGCCTCTTCCACTCAGTTATTCTGTTTTGGTTTCCACTCAAAGCCCTTCAGTATGGTAAGTAGGAAGATATGAATGCTAAGAGATGGGGTTCCGCTTTGCTGGAAAGCTAACCCATTGTCCATATATGTTCAGGTTACAGTGGTGTTTCATTTCATGATATTTTCCTTCATCTAAAATGTATGCATCCATAAGTTGTGCACACGGTAAAGGGTTTTTATTAAGCCTTTGGGAGCCACGTGATTTAATCTATGCAAAGCCTTTCTTCTTTACTTCTCATGTTTCTCAAACGTGCCGAGAGTTAAACTTGAGGACACTTTTTTTCCTTTTATTGATGCATAGTGTGAAGATAATAAGTGCTAATATTTTATGTGTCGAGCACATTCGATTGAATCTAATCAGACATGCTAGTGTTCTCAAGTGGCCGCAAGCCAATGTTACAGATGAGATTTTTAATGTGATTTCCCCTTCATCTTGGAGCATACACTTTTTCTCTGCTGGTTTTTGAGCAAGTGATTTTATTTGTCAGTTTAAAAAAGATAGGACCTACATGCATAAAAATGATGAAGTACCACTCTAGGAAGGATGTCTATCATGCCTATCCTAGTGCTTGGGAGTCCCAGAGCAGACGTTGCCCTGAGGCACTGCAGAGCAGGCCAGCCTGGGCTCATTCTCCACTTAGGTACCTGTCAGTCCTTCCTAAGTCCAGGCAGACCCACCTTCTACATGCTTACGGTTGTTTGACTTTTGTCTGTCTACCACTTCTTTTCCATAGGGAGCTAGAGTAACCCTGGTAAAACTTAAACCAGACCAAGTGCCCCAAGGCAACAAAATCTTGGGCTTCCAGACTGTTTCTTACTTGTCCCCAGATATGTCCAGAGAGGCTTTCCCAGTCCTCCCAAATCACTCCTGCCCCATGGCTGCAGCACCCTGCTGCCTTCTCATTCCCTGTTTCTGCCAGCACTTCCCCACCGTCATGTGATGTGTTTACCTCTTTGCATCGTCTTCCTCTTCTGAGATTCAGCAGGCTATCCGTTCAGTGGTGCTTGCTGTGCTCAGAACAGTGCCTAGCTTCTCATAGGTACCCAGTGAGCTGTGGATGGATTGCTGAAGCTCACAGCATGAATGAATAGTACAGGGAAATGTCCTAGTCAAGGTAGTAAATGATGCTCAGTTTCAAGGTCACAAGAATGACTTTGTTTCCTTTTAATGTATAATTCAACACTGTAAGACTCCCCATTTCAAAATGTTCAATTCACTGGTTTTTCTGTACATCCACTGAATTATGCAAATGTCACCACTATATAATACTAGAATATTTCATCACCCCAGAAAAAAAACTTTGTAGCCATGAACAATCACTCCTGTTTCCCTGACCTCCTCCTAGCCCTTGGAAACCACTAATTTTTCTATCTCTGCAAACTTGCCTATGTGGACATGTTATATAAATGGAATTGCATCAGTGAGCTTGGCTCATGCACTCTGCCGCATCAATCAGTACTTCATTCCCTTTTCTGGTTCAGTCCTCTTCCATTGTATAGAGAGATACACCACGCTCTAGTGATCCATTAATCAGTTGGTGGACATTACATTGTATCTGCTTTTTAGAAGAATGAAATATCAGTCCAGGGTACAAATCAGGATGTCCTGATCTTACACAAATTCACCTAGTAAAGTTATCTTTTGAAATGTAAAATTAACATAGGAATGAAACACAAGGCATCACCAATCTGTTAAACAATTATTCCAACATTCTAAATAGAAAAAGGAAATATAATATCAATAATAAGACAAACCAAACAGCATTCAATATACTTTAGCAATGCCAGATCCCACACTGTATTTTCCTGGGAAACAGCCTATATCGGCCTAACTGTCCTCAGCAGCTGCTGCCTGTGGAATCCAAATCCAGCCAAGTCTAGAGAACATCTGGCTTTTTCTTTAAGGAACAAGTTGTATATAGCATAAACTTTGTTTAACCAATTTGATGTTAAGGGCTCTGTAATTATTTTTACCCTTTTCTCCCCATTTTAAAATAAGGACTAGGAGACTGTGGGGCCCATTCTGTTCAAAAGTATGGGAGTACAGAAATATATAAATATACTATATAAAATGACTAATTTTTTGATGGAGCAATTCTCAGAGTTGTCTGTAGACATTATATATGACTCAAAACTTTTTAGAAGTCCTTTGGGTCCAAATTTCAGTATCTATAGACTTTTATACTATTATTAAGACATTTTTGCCTTTGTCATTATTGACACAAAAACAGTGGCAGCTAAAACTCCTGGGGCCATGACTTAAATGATGGCAGTGTCGTTGCATTTTTTGCTGCAATGAGCCCAGTTCCATTTGAGGTTGTCTTTGAAGAAGATTTAAGCCCAATGCTTTTATCTACCCTTGAACATAGGTGTGTCTCAATAATGTTCTGATGGGTGACCATCAAAGCATGCCTGCTGCATTCCAGAGCACAGGGGCTTTGTGGGAAATGGTGTTCTGTGGTCCTGTTTGCTTCATGAGTCGAGCCACTGACCTCCACAGGATTACAGTCCTGCCTGAGTAAAAGAACCATGACAAAAGCACCAAGTGACCAATAGATTTCACACTCCACATTGGCAACTGACCTTTAAAATATCCACCTCTATCTCTGGAAGAAACTACTTGTTGCATTTTGATGTATAATCAAAGAATTATTGGAAAATGTTACCAAAATACATGCACTCACATGTACGTACACATACACACACACACACACACACACACACACACACACAATAACCTCATGCATATCTCTACAAAGCTGGATTTCTCTGATATATTTTAACAAAAACAGTATGTGAGAGCCCAGCTGTGTTCTGTTAAATTCTGGACATTAAGGAGATTATAAAATTGTAAAACAATGCCAATTTTCTCACTCATTTTTGTTTAGGAAAATAGTTATTTTTCATAAAAATCTGTTTATATGACTGTGTTGGATTTAGTACTGTTATTTTTAGATAAAATACAGATTTTTTTAATGTTCTGTTTTAATTTCTAATTTGGTAAATGCTGATAGCTATAAACTATGTAGAAGACCCTCAGTGATTTCTAAGTGAGTCTGAAGACCAGAAACTATGAGAGCAAGTGATTTACCAGAGTCATCCAATGCTGCTTCCTCGCCTCAGACAGCAGCACACTTGGTGCTTGCCGTATATCTTGTGTGACCAGGATGGGGAGCTTCAGGCCACCTTTCCTAAAGGAGCCAAATTTCCTCAGGCTGAGGAGCAGCCAGGCTGACACAATGGCTGGAAGAGCTGGGCTGACCTTTGCAGAGCCCGGCCCCACTCCCTCGCCTCATCCATACTTTACTCACACATATTTTGTCCTTAGATACTGGGCTTTGAATGAATGCTGGGTCGGTACCCAAACCCTGTATTGCATATACCAAAGCCATCAAAATTGTCAGTAATACTAGTAATTCCATTCTTCAGTCACTTTTTTATATTTGCTCAATTGTTTTTAGTCAGTCAGTGATAACTTCTGTTTGTTAGCTATTCCTTCATCTAAAGCTATGTTTGTTTACTACTCCTAGAATAATGAAAGACTTAAACTATGCTCAGAAATTCAGCCAGACCCTCAGAGAATTGTGTGCCTGGCATTGTGTGGGTGCTTCCTTGCCTCTGAGCATGGCTTTTTATGCATCCCTCTTGGTTCTGTGCTAACAGCTTTATTGAGAGATAGGGAGAGGGTTCCCATGACCCTCACTGACTCTGCTGACAGCCACCTGTGTCAGGATTCAAAGTATCACGTCCACATCGTGTCTTAATGCTCAGAGCTTTAAGCTTTCCAAATGATTAGTTCATCTTTTATATGTGTATTTATTTTACTTATGGACTCTAAGAATTGATTAGAAAGTCAGATTTCCTGCTTCATATTGATTCTTGGAATTTTGTGTTGAATTTGTAGCCTGTCTGCAACAACTTTGTGAGACTGGACAGCAGTATGATCTTTAAGATCCACTTCATTTATGGCCCCACTGTGTGCACTTAGGGTCCTCTTCTTTTGTTCGTATTTTTAATTGATTTCCCTTTCCTGGACCCTCCTTCTTTTTCCTTCCTAACAAGTCTCCGCTTTTCTTGCAGGGACGGTATTTGGAAATGGGAAAACCTCTGATTACCTGCTTCTGGGAAACTTTGTTTACACTGTGAGTACAGGCTCTTTGCTTATTTGCATATAAAACCGCAGCCTTTCATCTATGATCGCTTTACTTCAGATTTAAATGTGGCAGGACTAGATTTGAGGATTGTTTACAGTTTCCTTTAAAAATGAAATAAAGTATTTGGAGTATTAAAAGCTTGTCTATATAAGATTTTTTTTTTTTTTTTTTTTTTTGAGATAAGACTTCACTATAAAGCCTAGACTGGTCTTGAACTCAAAATCTGCCTCAGCCTCCCAAGTGCTGAGATTATAAAGCACATATATACCACCACACTTGCTCTAAATAAAGTTTTAAAATGTGAGTTAGATTCACTGACTTTAAAAGATTTCTGTTACTTTTATTGTCAGTATTCTGTCTTTATTTTAACTTTCTCCTCAAATTTATCTCATGGCCATTTCCTGAATGTTAACAAATGTCATCAAAGTATCCTTGGTGTTTCCTGAGAATGTAACCAGTCACTTCTCTAGAGGCTCATGGTAACTAAAATGAGAGCAACCTCCAGACTTAAGGGACCTTTTCCCCACACCTGCCAGTGCTCACTAGCTTTGAACTCTGTACACAGTATGTACCTGGGTCTGGAGCCAGAAAGCACTCATACTAAAAGGCAAGAGCAACAATTGCTCACACAGTTGACACTGACACACATTTACCTTCAGCTCTGAATTCTGTGACTCCTTATGTTCCTCACTCTTCAGCCTCTGTGTGAACAATGTGTGGCCAACTGGCTGTTGGTGTTCCTGGCTCTGTTGGTTAAAAAACTGTGATGTGGTTATTCAACTGTCAGTTGAGCCTGAGTGTATCTCAGAATAGAGTTCATGCTTAGCATTCCTGAGGTTCCAGGTTCAGTCCTGAGCACTGAAAAATAATGTCTATGAATCTCAAATGTTGGACTAGCTGAATGATAGAAAATTAAGTTCACACAGTGTGCTAGTTAGTTTTCACTCTCAACTTGACACAATCTAGAATCACCTGGGAAGGGTCTTAATGAGGAATTATCTAGATCAGGTTAGCCAGTGGGCATGTCTTTGGGGGATTGTCTTGATTGTTAATCAAGAGTGGGAAGACACACTGTAAATGTAGGCAGCACATTCATGGGCTGGACCCTGGACTATAAGAGTGAAGAAAGCCAGCTGAGCACTGAGCAGGCGAGGACCTGTTCGTTTGTTCTCCTCTGCTTGAGTGTGGATGCTCTAAGTTCCTGCCCTGGCTTCCTTGAATGCTAGACTGGAATTATAAGCAAAGTAAAGTCTTTCCTCCTCGGGGTTGCTTTTTGTCAGGGTATTTTATCACAGCAGCAGACATGAAAGCAGAACATTCATTGAACCAGGGGAATTCAGGTTCAGGCAAATCTGGGGGGGTTTTCCTTCCAATGGCATCTTCCCATTGAAGGAGTGAAAGAAAATCAAAACATGTTTGAGGGGTTTATTCTCTTACAGCATAAATGCAAAAACAGAGCTGTGTAAATACTTAACTAAGGTAGAAATAAATCACCATACATGTGAAGGATGTCTCTTGAGGGCACTTCAAAGTCTCAGGTCTCTGGGGAGTGTTTTCCTTTCATTTTATCACTTACTAGAACTTTTTAAGTAGCTTAAGCTAACTAATATTTACATTTTAGTGAGTTTTATGTCTACAGATATTAATCATGATTTTCCACCAAATACATTGCTGAAGAAATCCAGTTGTCCCCTTACCTTAACTTTACAAACCTGCTGAGAACTGTCTAAGCACATACTATGCCCAAACCCTCAAAGTATGACTGGATGCTGTGGGCATTGGTGGTCACAGTGCCAGGAAAGCAGTGTGTTTCCAGTACCACAAACTATTCCAAGTGCCCAGAGTTCCCTTGACTCTCACTACTTCAATTATTTTTTACTTGTAGTTGTAAATAGATCATAATAATGGGAACACTATTCTAAGTGTTTTGTATTTGGTGTTTTAATCTCAAAAAGAAATTAAAAACAGGGGCTGGAGAGATGGTTCAGTGGTTAAGAGCACGGACTGCTCTTGCAGAGGACCCGGGTTCGGTTCCCAGCACCCACATGGCAGCTACGAACCGTCCTTAACTCCAGTTCCAGGGGAATCTGAAGCCCTCTTCTGACCTCCACGGCACTCCACAACATGGGTGCACTCACATACATGCAGGCAA